CGAGAAGAAAGATAATTCAGAGGCAGAAGAGGACGGATTGAAGGCAGAGAGTCCAGAGTTAGTTTAAAACATTTCTGATGACACCTGAAGGATCATTTCTGCTGCTTCTGTCCGGTGTCAAGACATCTTAATCTCCGTGACCGACACCATCAGCAGGAACACTAATTGTAATTTTGGTGGTCTGCTTTTTAATTGATTGGAGGATGGCGCACGGTAATCTATAGATGTTTTAAATTACTGCCCTCTATTCTGTCTAGTGACGGTAGCGGGAATAATAAATGTGGTGGAATGAATAGGATTTCTGTTGTTTACAGAGCTCATTTAGCTGCTGTCATTCATACTTTGAACAATATCTACTATTCTTAAGGTAGAAAATGAATGTTTGCTTAAGTGTGAAAAAATTACTATGTGAAGCATTGAAAAGTAACTCGCACAGCAAAGAGAACATGTGATTATGAACTGTACTTGCTGCTGTTCTCAGTGTTTGTGTGTAGTGTTGTGTGCCGTGCCAGCAGGGGAGCTGCATCTGTCGACTGCATTAATTTTATGATTTAAATTTTGTGTTTTTTATCTCTTCAATAAATGAGAACTTAATGTACCATGTAACCAAATCTTTATCATGCCTCTTTCCATCTTGCTGTAATGCAGCAATAGGAGCAGAGCACTAAATAATCAACTCATCACCATTTTATAAAAGAAAATGACAACAAGCTGCCTGTGATATGACTAGATAATAACAGAGATATTAATTAATATTCAAAGTTAGGTACAAATGTATTTATGCAGTTACACAATTTTGTATTTTTGCCACCACAGTGGATTTTAAATCAGTCAAGATGTGCAGACTTTAATGCAAGAGGTGTATTGAAAATTTTCATTAGCGTCTATGAATAATTGCCATTTTCATACATGGTCACCCATTTTCAGAGGCCTGGAAAACTTCACTCATTTTAAATACAAAGACTGGATGTAAGACTTCTTTTGCACTCAGTGCTTAAGTCTAGAGCCCAGCTCACTTGAGCTGCTCTACTAGGCCTTCACTGCAGATGCCTCCAGTTTCTGCTTGTTTGTGGGCCATTCTGTATTCAGTTCATGAAAAGAGTGTCGAGAGTTATGGCTTAGCAATTAAAAAATATCCCTGAGAAGCTCTTTGGTTGCTTTTGCAGTATGCTTTGGGTCATTATCCATTTGGAATGTGACGTGCTGATTCCGGGCAGAGAGTAAAGCCCCGTACACTTCTATCACCGGTCACATCAGCTGCACTGTATCCATATAAGCCCATGAGACAGCATTGTCTGACGGTAGATGGACTGATTCTTATATAGCGCTTCTCTACACAACTGGAGCGCTCAAAGCGCTTTATACAGTATGCCTCATTCACATAATAACTTTTTTCTAAGTGCTCTCATACTCCATTGGATGCACCAGAAAACAGCTTGGGGTTGAGTATTTTGCCCAAGGTCATGCAGATGCAAGAAGCCAGATCTACCTCCTGAGAGCATGATGATGGTTCGGATGAGCTCTCTATAGCACACTTTATGCTATAGACATAAAGTTTTATCTGTTCAACCAGATTTTTTTCCCCACAGCTGTGCAGGATACTTAGATGTTTCATGACAAAGTCTAATATAGCCTTCTTTTCCTTGAGTGTACCGAGTGGATTGCACCTCATTATAGTTCCATTCATAAACTATAATATAAATCTCCTGATTAATGGACGGCACGCCTACTTCCTCATGAATATTTATGCCTTAGTTAGATGTTAAGGGTTTTCCCACCAAGGAAAGAATTCTGAAATCATCCACTTTAGTTGTCTTCTGTGATCTTTTGGGCCTTTTTAGTGTCACTGAATAGACATTTATTCCCTTTAAGAATGTACCATTAAGTTGGTGATTTGACCGACCCCTCCTTAAGTTTGTGCTCTTTGTCTTATGCTATTGTTTTGCATTTTTCAGCCTAATTATGGGATCCTTCAATTGCTTTGATGATCCTTGGACCTGATACTGAACAGCCTCATCTGGCATCAAACTGACTGTCAATCGTAGGAAATCATCTTACTTTTGAGTGTCTAAAAAATGGGGGGCTATATTATATAGTTTTGCTGTTTAAGATCCACTGTGGTGATGTGCAAAACAAGTAAAAGTAGTATTGTCCAAAATCCTGTAGATATGATGGCATGTTTACCCTTTGTGTCGTATTTCCATTCAATAAACCACTGAAGAGACTGAAGTCAAAACAAGTAGACAAACTCTTTCATGTTTTAATTATAAATTTATTACATAATATAACAAACATATATCTCTGTGGTGGAGATATCCTGGGCAACATCTCAGATCTTGCCTCAACCTTTACTATCTCCCTTACTCTGCATGAGGAATACTAGGTAGCTTCTGGTTAACTCATATTTGTACACGGGATTTTGTGTATTAAAATACAGAGGGACTTTTATATGAATATTTTTAAGTGTGCAAAGGGAGAATAATTGCAGATGAGTTTTCTGGTCATTTGATGCCGATAAGGGGAAGCTTAACCCGTGAGACAAGGCTGAGGTGTTGCAGTGATACATCCACCAATCTAAACTTCACAGTGCAAACAAGGAGAAAACTGACAATGAAAGAAAAAAAACCCCTTTGATGATAAGATCACTGGTTCCATTTGGTCACTGGACTCCAGTGGGTTTTTAAAAAAGGTCACGCTGCTGCCCCTATACTATGTAGATTGTGCTTTGTTGATTACAAAATAAGACAAAGATAATCCTTCAAGGAAATTATTTGACCAAATGATGTGTACTTCTGTTACACTTTGCTCATTTTGAGTCTGTATCTGTGGTAATCTTAGCCACCGGTCCAAGCAGTTATTTAGTACAGCACTTATTCTCCTAACCAGGCCAGGCTGTGTCAAACTTCAGACTGCATATGTTCACCCTTCATCACAGTAAATCAAGCAGTTGTCTCCAAATTTCATTTAAATCAATAATTTAATAATACAGATATTAATTAATATGAGAGTGTGTGTATATATATATATATATATATATATATATATATATACATATACATACTACTTCTTCAAAAAATAAAAGTAATGACTGTACTTCCAGCTTCAGGAAAATACAGAAGGATCTAACAAACATCTGTTCTCAAGATTTCCAGGAGATGGCACCATGTTATCATATTATCTAACAGCTTTAGAGTGCTGTAACTAAGATAGTCCTAAAGCAAAGACAAATATACAGTGAAAAGTTTATTTACTTTTTGGCACATTTTTCCTTTGTGTTGTTTGTTCCTCACTGGATCACTTCATATAGCATATCCAAAACTCAGAAACTGAAGGTCTGAAAAAGGAAAGAGGAGTGCTGCCAGACAGAGTGGAGGGTAAAGAGCACAAATGCCATCTGGGAATGGGTTTACAAAACAGTGATACTGCATAAGCCGTGCCTACACAGTTACAAGGTGAGCTGTGGTTGTCTTGCAATATAAAATGTGACCGTGTTCATCAATAACGTGGTAATCTCAGTCTGTCTTGTTGCTCTTGAGCCGAGCAGTCCACTTTATGAAGACGTCACTTAGTACAAAACAAGAATGCCGGACGATGATGTTGAGTTTTGAAATGAAGATTAATGCATGTGTGCATTTTTATGTTTGTGTGTGTGTGTGTGCGTTTTGTGAGCACGTGTGTTTGTGTGACACAGCCACTGCCGGCAACATCTGATGGTAATACAGTAAGGCTATAGTGGACCAACTCCAGTGATGTAAACCCTAACAATTAACCACACACACACACACTGACGCTCTTGCACTGTCACACGCATTCTCATTGTTTCAATCCCAAACAAACGCACAAAAATGGAAACAAATAAGCGATTGCACACATACACACTGCCATACACACAGTGAAGAAGAACGACCACACAGAGAGATTCAGGGAATCCAGATGCACGCATGCTCTTGGACGATGGGTGGCTTTTATGTTAGCACCTTGTCACCTTGTTTTGTGCAAATCATCCCCTAGTTCATAGTTCAGAGTTCAAAAGTTCAAGAGTTCATAGAAAGAATAAAATCTGCTCACCTTTTTTTCACAGGTGGTTAACTATGCATATATGCCAAACATTCATATATAGATCTATATACTTTTTGTTTTTCAAAAATTTATATGAAATCTATTATATATACATTGCTTGTGATTAAAAAAAGCAAATATTTGTAGTTTGTTTATTTTTTACAAGTGTAAGTATGTTTAGAATGGACAGGAGATTTTTTTTCTGCTCTTTTTCAGTCACTCTAAAATTCAGATGAGTCATGATCCACACGCTACAAAATCTACCCACAGTGTCCGAGGGTAACAAATCAATCGACAAAAGAAGAACTGATAAGAACAATTTAAAAAAAGAAGTGTTCGAATGAGTCTGAGGACGTGACATCTACGTCAAAAACAAAAGAATAATCAGTGAGGTCACAGCGAGGCAGTGAGTGCTATTCCTACAACCCACATACACCGTTAAATTCCCCACCTGCTTTTACAAACTGTGAGAAAAAGAAACTAAACATGCGTGCACTTTTTCGCCAGGTGTAAGTGCCTTGGCATACTGATTGGATTCTGCTGATGCACAGAGATTTTACTTTTTTTACTGGTAATAGACATTTACTGGCTTCCCGTCAGAGAAAAGCTATAAAATGCATTTCGTTGTGTGAATAAAACTCACTGTTTCTCACTGCCAGCAGAAGCTACTCATGAGTACAATTGTAGATTTGTATTGTTAAAGGAAAATTCAGTGGTTTTTTTAAACAACCTGCACCTTATTGTTTTGAGTTGTAGCTGTCCCTCTGTTTATGATATTTTACTCACTTAGAAAATGGTAAAGATCGAGGAAAGCAGCAATAATGTCAGGTTGTAAAATACTGAATTTTCTTTAAGACCTTGCAGAGGCTTTCCCATCCCCACAGCCTGAGAAACTACAGACATTCCCTGCAGTGGCATTTCAGAAGGGCATACACATCAAGCTCATTTAAGCTTGTATGGCAAGTTTTTATTGGTTATACAGGTAAAGGAACACAATTATTAGCTTTTTTTTTTAAATTATTTGAACAGTTAAAGCTTGTTTCTCCAGGTTTCCATGCTTGGAAATTGATACCAGACCTTGTGCAAACTGGTCTAAGTAACACTATCGGGGACAGGGATGGAATCTTTACTAGCTCTCTAACAGACTATGGTGGTGTTTAACTGTTGAAGTGTAAGAAAAATTCAATTTCTAGTAGTAAAACAGCAAGCAACCTCTTCATGCTGGTGCCCCAAACTTCCATCCCTGAGTGATAAACAGGCATAAGATGAAGAGCCCCTTTAAAGCCAGTCAGCTTGCACATAGGTGGCCGGTGCCCTTGATGTGTTATTGTGGATACACAGACAGCGGGATCTGTTGCTGAAGCAGTAGGGATGGGTGTCAACTGGGGTCTCAGCCTCACATTACGGGATGCCCTTTAGTATGAAGGAAGACCGTAAGAAAATAAAAACAAACAACAAACTCTTTGTCAAAAACATGAAGCAACTCGTCATGCTACGGTTCAAAAAAGGAGTGACCATAAGGAAAGTTGGATACCTATGACAAAAACTTCATTTCCATATTTATATACTTTTTCCTTTCAAATATATATATATATATATAGAATACTTATATATATGTACGTATATATATAAGTATGTATATAATTGGTAGAAATGAGTAAACTATTAGTGGAATAGATTTAAAGATTTCTCTCTGCCTTCTATACTAAAAACCAAAAAAACAGGTGCAGATTAATTTATTATATTTCCTCTTTGCAACATTGTCTTTTCTCCTGAAAGCTATATTTAAATACATATATATATATGTATATATTATATAATACCTATATATAATATTCCCTTTGGAAAACCAAAAAAAGAAACTGATTATGAAAAAAAGCCACGAGTGTTGGTTAAACATTCTCCAAATATAATAGATAGCACAGTCTGGGTACCAAGGCAGAGGGGGTTTTCTCCCACGGTTTACTTTGTGGAGCTCCGACTCTGGGCTCTAAAGTCTTCGGTTTAAAAACAGCACGTATACAGAAGACACACCTTTTTCAGGGCTGTGTGTCCGTAGCACTGTGTTCATTGCTGTTGATCTCTGTATAAATATTTTTGAAAGGCAACTGAGCTTTCTGTGTGGAACAAAAAATTCTGCCTCCTCCTCCTCCTCCTTTACTCGAACTGCAAGAAGGCTTTCAGCAGCCTAATAGAGGGACCTGGGGGGTTATTTGGGAGGGGAGGTAGAAAGGAGAGGAGGGAGCGAGAAAGTGGGGATGTTACTAAGGAAACAAGTGAACCTTTCACAAATCAAATGTTCTAATTGGAGCTCGTCTGGCTCGTCTTAGCAAAAAATAAATAAATAAAAACGCCAAATATCATTTTGGGCCTGATTTAATTGGCCACAAAAGCAGGGTGGTGGGCAAGAAGAAAAATGAATGTATCGACGACTCCTCTTCAGTGCATTGCCATGTGCAGGGTGTTAATGCAGAATGGAAACAGAGTGTGCCTAAGAGCTGCAGGTCAACATTTGTGATGCCGAACATAAAAGCAGCCGGAGTAAAAGAGGAGCGGCCCCTATCGCATCGCTTATTTTCCTTAACCCCCGAATCTTCTGTCTGTCTTCACCGATCTCCATCTGTGGCTGTGTCTCAGGGCAGGGGTCAGCTCTCCAGCAGCTGTTTCAGTGCTCGCTCAATGTTCATGCGGTGTCCGACTCGTGTCACTCCCAGCTCTGCAAAGTCATCCTTGGTTAGAGCAGGGAGGTGAGAACCTTCGATCTCATGTTCCTGAAACCCTGCTCTGTGCTCCCCCAGGTTGATGCTCTCCAACCAGTCTCCAACATCATACTTGTTCCAGAGGTGGAGGGGTTTTTGGTGAAAGGGTCGTAGAGCTAAAAGTGGTGAACCTAACCCAGGTGAATGGGAAGGTGACGGGGACGGAGAGCGAGAGCGGGAACGGGCGCTGGAGCTCCTCATTACAAAGCGGACCTCCTTTGGCTCCTGGGGTAGGCTGAGGCTCGAAGATTTGAGGATAGTTTGTGGCGGTGTGGTTGGTGAGGTTGGTAGGCCGTAGCCTGAGAATCGTCCAAGAGGGTCGCCCCGATCAGGTGAGCCTGGACTAGGGGTGCGTCGGGTGATGGGGTAGCGACTGCCAGGGCGGATGGTGTATGTGGTTCCATAACTTCTTTGAGAGATGGTGTGGAGCTCACCTAGGCTGCTGAAAAGTCTGGTGGAAACAGACAGAGGCACAAGGCTTTAAGAATAAGGAAGACTCTGCTAACGAAAATAAAATAAAGAAGAAAAAATGACACTTTGGGTTATAGAGTGCAGTAAAAAAATATTTGCCCCAGTCATTGTTTTTCTTGCATATTTCTCACACTTGCATTTTTCAGATCATTTTAATGTTAGACAAAGAAAACCAGAGTTAATAAAAAATGCCATTTTTAAATTATGATTACATTTATTAAGGGAAAAAATTTATCCAAACGTGAAATGTTGCCACCTAAACCTAATAACTAGTTATGCCACTCAATTGCAATCAAGCATGAGCAATGAGTCTTTACACTGTGGAGGAATCCTGATCCTCTCATCTTTGCAGAACTATTTTAATTCAGCCACACTGGAGGGTTTTTGAACATGAACAGCCTGTTTAAGGTCATGCTAAGGCACCTTGGTAGGATTGAAGCTTTGACTAGGCCACTACAAAATTCATTTTTTATTTGTTTTTAGCCATTCAAAGCCTACTTCATATTGCCAGACAGGTTCTATTTAAGTGATTTCTTGATTCAAGGGTGTGGCAGTAATCATGCTTGGATGTCCAGTGAAACTAAACATTTAGTCACAATGAATTTGTGATTTAACAAGGTGGGCAATTGTATTTCCCCATTGGGCCAGGTAGTTTTGGATAGCTTTTTTCCCTTAATCAATAACATCATTATATTAAAACTGCATTTTTGTATTTATTTGAGTTATGTTTATCTAATATTAAAATTTGTTTGATGATCTGACAAATGTAAGTACGAGAAATATGTCAAAAAAAAAAAAAGAAATCAGAAAGAGGGCAAATACTCTTTCACAGCATGTATATAAACAGCAGTCATTCATTTTAAAGTAGGTTAGTGCAGAAGAGAGGTTAATGGCTGTTAGAAAGATCAAACTAGTCAGACTAAGAACATCTAGCTATGCAAGTGACTACAGGGTAGTTCTCCAAAATAAGAGCCCTAGCCCTAATTTTTACTCACACCCATAAAAACCCCTAGTCCCTGTGACATTAATGAGCGTGTTTTTGCTATGATTAATTCAATTAAAGCTGTTGAGTCCTACTATAAGCATCCTTGAATAGGTTAGTGTGACCAACATTAGATTACAAATACAGTGTTTAAACAGATGTATTGTGTTACACTGAAACTGCTGATATCACTAACCTGAAAGCAGAATTCATTTTCTAATGTGTGACAAATTCTGTAGAAACAAACGCACACACACACACACACACACACACACATCCAAATTTAGATGCAGAAGGCAGATCTAAAAGTAGAATATTAAATTTGATTTTCAGCTCTCTTGCACATTAGTTACATTTTGACTCACTCAAAAAAATGGATACAGTAAATATTCAATTTCATGACCACGAATTGTGTGAAGAAACAGGTGGGAATTGTTGTTAAACACTAATTAGCATTATTTACTTGTTAATCAAAGGAGTAAATGATCTTGGAAGCTTGGCTAACACTTAATTCAGTGCAATACGTTTAGCATTTAGGAACTCTGAGAAAGAAGGATAGTACTCACGTAAACACTGAGGTATAACTATTATTTTTTTATAGTGACCTGATATGGGATAATAGTTTAAATAGTCTAGTCACCTTTTTTAACATATATATATATCACTCTTTTTTGAAAGTTATTAGAAGCATAAATTTGTGACAGTCTTAGAGACTGAACGTTAGGATAAGAACAAGAACAGTAAGAAAGAGGGATGGATACAATTAAGGAAATTTTAGCTATCATTGTGCAAGCAAGGAAAAACTGATAGGAGAAACTAAACTACTGAGTTACTACAGTGGTGTCTTTTTCATGCATGTTAACATGTCTGAAGGTGTAGCACACGTTTTCCATCTCCTGCATGTTTTTGAAACTTTTTTATTGGGTGAGATTTGGAGTAAAAGAGTGTAATGAAAGACCGGTAGCTAAGCAGCACTCAGGCTGGAAAAATGTTCAGACTACGGGGAGCCGACAGATATGAGATGAGCTCCATGCGCACTTACACAGTCGTCCTGCCCTCCTGGGCGCACAGTCAGTTCTAGACCAATCAGATCAGAGCAGCAGGGCGGAGCATGCAAGGTGAGCAGAGAGAGAGCAATGGGAGAGAATGTTAGCATCACTCAATGAGACGCAGCCTGCCAACCAGACTTATAATCTGCCTCAGCCCGCTCCGCTGTCTTTGCTGTGCGTCATCTACATGTATAGGTGTATGTGACTGTGTGAGTGTATGACTGTTCATCAGTAGATGGGCATGAATGCATTTTTGTGCTTGGGTTGCTCTACGTGTCAGCATGACAAAGACAGCAGAGTGGGTTTCAGCACCTGAAGGTCTGACCAGTGGGCTACATGAGAGAGAAATGAGCACACTGTTCACATATCAAACACTGCACAAAGAAAAACGAACAAATAAAGAAACACAACAGGACAGCACATGTCTCTTGACTTTTAAAGCTGCTTTTGTACTTCGTTTCACATACATTTATATAAGAAAATACTCTTTTTTTTAACATGGATTTGTATGTAGAGCACAGTATATAAGCGGTGAATGCACGTGTGTTTTGGTGGAGCATATTCTGTTTTATCATGGTTTAAAATACAAGACAGTCAAGGATCATGGCCATCCTCAACACAAACACTGAAAATCAAAACAAAGTTATGCAACTTTCATTAAAAAAGAAATAAAAAAAAACAAAGGAAAGAAAACCAAAAAGCACAACAGAAATGAGAAACACACTTTTGTACGTGACCCAAAGCTCTGATACACAGCACATGAACAAGGTGGAGACAAAATTCAGCAGTGTAGTTTTTGAAGGGGTTTAAATGGGGCACAGAGGGGATGGGGTAAGTGATGGACGAATGTGACAATTAAGAGTGCGGAGATGCTGATGCTCTACGTGAAATGCTACAGCAGGTGAAGAGACACAGAGGCAGAGAGGGAGAGAGAGAGAAATAATGGTGTGCGCAGTCATCTTTTTTACAGCCAAGGGCAATCAACTGTCAGCATGTAGATAGTGGTGATCTCTTCATTTGGATAACATTAGGAAGGTGTGAATCCAGTCTGAACCGGTCTTACTTGATATGTTGTATTTGATATAATTCGAGCTTCATATTTAATTTATGGTCATCCAAAAGTCCAGTGTCTTGTACAAACAGGGATTTAGGACACCAAAGTATTAGGACAGCACATTTCTGTTTCTAATAGCAGTAATGAATTCCTCTGTAAAGACACATTGCTTTAACCCTGAACCATTAAATAATTGCCCGAAAGTCACATTTTTTAAAATTATTTTTAACAAAATCAATATTAATTTGCATATTTTAGTTGTGTAGTTTTGTATCATATTTGCTACATGTGTACGGAGGCCCTGGGACACCAAACGGAATGCAACTTAAGAAAACACCAGCATTAAGAAAAACGCAAAAGCACACACAACGGAAATAGGAAAAAAGAAAACAGAAATAGGAAAAAACAGATCCAAAAGCACAAGGGAAGTGTTTCTGGGGAGACAATAACCCGGCGGACCAGTTGCAGGAACCAAAATATGCTGAGAATTGTGCTGGGAGACACTTAAAAGAAGTAGAGGATCTATCGGTTTTGTGAGGAAAGAAAAGATGAGAGGTAAGTGTGTTAGCCTAACTATTAGCCCAAAAATCCGTCATCAGGATTATACGAATCATGAGATTAAAACACACTTACCTAGCATGTTTTGGTTCCTGCAACTAGTCCGTCGGGCTATTGTCTCCCCAGAAACACTTCCCTTGTGCTTTTGGATCTGTTTTTTCCTATTTCTGTTTTCTTTTTTCCTATTTCCGTTGTCTTTTGTGTGCTTTTGCAGCATTTTTCTTTTTGCTGGTGTTTTCTTAAGTTGCAGTCCGTTTGGCCCCTTAGGGCCACCATACCTCTGGCCTTTTTTTGAAAACTATTTCTTTAAAATGTATTGCACAATTTATTTTGTTTTTCTGAGGGGAAAAAAACACAGATTGTGTAGAAGTCTCAAAAACTGTATGTATCAAATATGATATACTAGGCATTAAGGGGTTGGAACATCAAACTATACTTGTCTAGAGCAACAGTAAGGATTAAATTCTGTGAATGGACATTAACTTGTAGCTCTATGGTGATTAGTCCTACAAAGACTTTCTCATTGTTCTTTCCCAGTCAGCGCTGTAACTGATTCCACTGACTCGTGGATGGAAACATGAAAATGCGATGCACAAGCTTTGGTGTGTGAAGTTGATCATGTCCTTTCGCTGATGTCACCATGATGAGAAGACTATGAAAAGTATGTTTTGACATCTTGTCAATGTAATATCGTCTGTTCATATCTTTCAGCTCCTCTTAGCAGCAGTGAAGTATGGTGGAAGCAACTTCTTCCATTCCCAATATTCACATAGAGAGAATATGATACAAGAAAAAAAATCAGAGAAGCTGAAAGAAGGCTGTGAAAGAAAATCCAACTCAACTGCATCTAAAAAAGTGATCACAAACCACAGAGCTCTTTGTAAGGCTGAGACAGATCCACGACTCCATGACAATGCATTTAACATCACGTCCTGTCAATTGTATTAAATGAGTAGCACTTCAGTGGGCAGCCAATAAAAGATACCATCTGTCCTTCTAACCTCAGATGTTAACTACCAGCCTGTCAAGCCACAAAAATACAACCAGTCTGAAGCCGGTTGCTTTATACTGGAGGAAATCAAAAGAGAAGATCCCACCACTTATGACAACATGACTCTTGAAGACTTTTGACGGGGTCAAACTCTGTCTGGTAATCTCGGCATTAACAGCCTTGTTAATGCTGAGATTGTGAGTGGATGGATTTCAACATGGCACACACCATTATAGTTCAGACAGGTTCAAATACTTGTTAAAATACATCCTTGAACCTTTGAGGTTATCACTGATGATAAAGTCTCTTGTCTTATCAATTATTATCAGCGATGACCGCAAAGAGCAGTGTACATGAGGATGTATTATGCACTATTTGAACAAAGGCTTTGGGAAACACTGGAAGGGGAGCTACTAGCAGGGTCATAGGTTAGAACCCAGAAGTGAGACTGTGCAAGAGATGAGGAGAAGCTTTCAGGAAGTACGTGCCTCCAAGCCCCGTTACCTTGTTTGCACCAACGGATAATCTACTACACACACTCACACACATATACACACACACACACACACCACTAGCTTATCAACTGCTACCGTCTACACTTACCAACACAGAACACTTAACAGGAAGCAAAGGAGTACAGCTGTAACTATGGAAACAAGGAGCCATCAACTGTAGTACTACTGTACTGTATCTCTAAAAACAATCATTTCTTGAAAAACATTGTGATGTAGTAATACTTCAATTGTCTTTTTTAATGATTCTTGAGGGACTGTACAAGTGTCAGTGAAGGAATCAGCTGATGCAAACAAGGTAACAAATAACAGTACAAAGAATATTAATGAAAAAAAGATGTATATAAGTACTGTTCTCCTTCAATGGGCTGATAGGCTCGTTATGTAAAATATATTTTAAAAAAAGCTTTGGTTTACCCTAGAGTCTATAACCTTAAGGTTTACTCTCTTCGGTGTCCTCACATCTGCAGAAATATAAAGGATTTCATTGTACTTTCAGGTAAGGTGTGAAAAAAGAAACCCACAGATATCAGACAAAAACACCAGTGTGCTTCAGTTAACCCTGAGACAGCTGCTGCTATGTGAGAAGTCTTCTTCTTACGGATGTTAAAGACCAAAACATGACCTGCTAATGTTATAGGATATATTAACTATGCTGTTCCACTAATATTGTCAGGGAAACTAGCACCAACAAAGGTAGTGACCTCTGATATCATTACTATTTACCATCACAACAACTTAAACAGAAATGTACTAGCTTATAAAAAGAATGCACAATGGAAGATAACAACAGACACTGGTGCAAATAAACTGATATAATAAAAATGCTGATAAACTAGAGAAAATAATTAACTCAGTGTCAAGAAGTAATTTAAATAAATCAAAAACACACAATGCTTGATCTTTTTTTACTCTACCACTACATAAAGAAAGGATAAGAATGAAACTTAAAAGGATTTGTTTTTTTTATTAAAACCCTTTGTTCTCTTACTTTATAAGATCGTGTCTTACCTGGCACCTGCCACAGGTGACTTCCTTCCTGGATCAAGTGATGCTCCCAGAGGTTCCTCTCCTAGTGATCTGGTGTCTTTATTTAGCTGCTGTAGTCGTGAACTGAGCTCTCCCATAACAGATGGTTTTGCTCCCTCATCTGCACCCAGCCCCAGTCCCAGCCCACCAAGATTTCCCAAACTCCCAATACCTAGCCCCACTCCTGGGCCACGGGGCTCCACTGGGTCTCCCCATAGCTTGGACCTCCTCTGGAAGAGGTAGCGTGGCTTGGTGGGGGCTAGACCAGTAACTGAGGCTGAACCACCTGGGGGGAGTCCAGCTCCTCCAGCTGCAGCAGCAGCCAGGGCAGCAGCCTGTTGCTGTGATAGCAGCTCGCTGTCAGAGCTCTGCTTCAGCAGAGGGTCCCTGAAAGTGACGGGGCCTTTACTGCCTCCTATCTGGGATTTTAGTCGGGGCTTAGGAGGCACTGGCGGCTTGTCGAGCACAAATGTCTGCCCGTCGGCATAGGAGGTGTGCGTGGTGTGTGTGTCGGCAGGCTCGCCGCTTTCTGAGGACAATGTGGACATGCTGGAAACCGTGGAGACGGTGCTGGTGGTCTCGAGATGGTGGTCTCGCTCTCTCTCGCTGGAGCTGCGTGTGTCAGCTTCTTCCACGCCTGAGTCAGCCGCTGAGCCAGACTCACCCACCGGTGGGGGCTCCAGAGGGTCAGAGGGCTTCCCTGAGACAGCTGCTGCACTGGGTGGAGGCAGGGGTTGAGCAGGCTGAGTGGGGGTCACAGCTGGCGTTGCTAGGGTTGAGGGTGTTTGTGGCATTGGTGTTGCAGGGGTGGCGGGAGACACAGCAGGCTTAGCTGGAGACACTGGCACCCCTTGTGCCTGTGCCAGTAGCCCATTAGCAAACTCATCTGGTGGCGGAACAACTCCAATCTTACGTAGCTCCTCTCGTGTTTCCTCATCGCTGGAGGATAACATGGCAGGGGGAAGGGTTACTGTGTACGGATCCACATCCTCCTCTGAGCTTCCCTGAGCCAGACCCTTCTCTTGGACTGGACTGGCAGAACGCTGAGCTTGGAGCTGGGTCTGGGGCTGGGCGACACTGGGACTGGGGGATTTAGCGCGTGGACTTGGTGATTTGCTGGGCTCCATGGAGGCTGGGGCAGGTGTCTGCTCTTGTTCTGAATCCACTCCAACAGCCTGCCCATTACTGGTGGCATGGACCATGATTAGCCCTGCTGTCTTCTGCTGTGATGTATCCATAATACTGATCAACATACTCTTTTTATCCTCTAACCTCTTCTCTTCCTTCCTTTCCTCTATCCTGGCCTCCATCTCCTGCCGGAATGATACAGGTGACGAAGATGCAGCCCACTGTGGCTTAGTGGGCTGCGGGGATAAAATTGATGCTGCGGAGGATCCAACCCCGAAACCCGCTACCTTGGCGCTTTTAGGTGAAAAAGGGGGAGATGTAGCTGCCCCTTCCCCATGTGGAGACTCTTTGGTCTGAGTGTCAATGAATATTACACCCTGGCCTAATTGCTCTTGTTTAGTCCGAGGCTCTGGGCTACTAGTAGGGGACTGGCTCTGGGAGGTCAGTGCCCTCTCCCTTGCGGCCAGCGCAAGAGCCAGTGGTGAATTGGGGTCCAGAGGCTTTCCTGTAAGTGGATGGATAAAGGTGGTCCCACTAGGTGAGGGGCTCAGAGCCAAGGCAGGGGGAGGCAGCTGTCCCAGCTCTCGTGTCAGCATCCGTTCATCGATGGAGTGAGACTGAGTCAGAGAGGGGGAATCAGAGCTGGTGGTAGATGCCCCCTCCATGGTCCCAACAGAAAGGAAGACAGTGGATTTCCTCCGTTCTTCTAGGCGACGCTCACGATCCTTCACAGCTCCAGCAATTGCAGCGGCAAAGGGGCCTTTGCCCTGAAACATCATCTCTCCTTGAACACGCATACGCTCTCGCTCAGCCATCAGCTGCTGCTGGTAGTAGTCTGCACGGCTGGTGTGTGTGTGCCCGTAGGTAAGTGGGTGTCGTCCTGAGGGTGAGCTCTCTCGCGAGTGGGCAGCAGCTAAGGCCAAACTAGCTTTTTCTTGTGCATCTTCCACCTGCAGTGTAGAGACCAAAAAAATCAGGTTCCTTCTTTTTTTTTTTACATTCAAATGAAAGCAACAAAATCAGATAGCATCGATAACATTCCACCTACCTGTAGCTGTTTCACCAGAGGACTCTTCTTTCTTTGGGGCTTGGTAGGTGTGTACAGTCCAATGCTAAACTGACCCACGTTTGCGTAAGGGTTGTCAATAACCCGACCTTTCCTTTTGATTCGCTCAGGTGGAGTAGCAGCAGAAGGACGTGGAATTTCTGTAGGTTCAACAGGTAAATGAGAAGAATCCTGCAGAATGATCATGGAGCGTGCTTTCTTCTGTCTCTCAATGTGTGTGGCCTGCCGCTGAGCGGCCTCGTAAGGCAGGTCCAAGGAGGACGGCTTGAAACTCGAACGTCCTGCAGGCTCATGGCCCTGACTCTGTGTTCTCGATGGAGGTGGAGGGGGGCAGAAAGCTGGGGGAGGACCAGTGTCTAGATAGTAAGGAGGAGGAGGAGGTGCCGTTTGTGGAGGGGGAGGGATAGGGTGGGGTTGTGAGTGGTCTCGGAGGCTGTCTGTCATAGAGGAACTGCGGGGAAATCGGTGCTCGCCTACAAGAGCAGACAGCCGATCCTCCTCAGTGGCACCTGATGATGGTAAAGAGAGCAAAGAGCACAGATCATCTGGTGATAAACAAGCTCTTGAAAAAGTGCCAAGCTGGTCCACATAAAAAAATGTACTGCATCCATCTGTAAATTTGTTTACTTACATAGATAATATGTATCAGGTGTCAAAAAACACGATTATTAAAGTAGTTTAATAAAACATACAGTTCTATTTTTGACTCACGTAGGAATCAGTTAAAGATTCATTTAATGAGTATACTTACAAAAAGCATAATGTTTAATAATACAGTTGCGTATTAATAATAGATATGTTAAGCTACTTTGAAACAAGCTCTGTGCTACTTGAACAACTGCTTTCTAAATCTGTTCCAGTATCCAGTATTCATATTTACAAATTTTCAACATTCAATGCCAAGTAATCATATATCCCACACTGTCAACTGACAACATTTGTTAAATCAGTCAAGTTTTGACATGGCACATTACGACTTAACAACGAGCTTCAGTCTCAGTATTGCCTAGTCGTTCTCCTGAAACAAATTATGAAAACACAATGAAGCTTCCTCAAATTCTAGTCTCTACTTTAGGTACAATTACACTATCATTCACCTTATTTGAATATGTACAGGATGGGTGATTGCTTTACCAAAAGATTTGGTCCTGGACATGCCCTTTGGTAGTTGTATGTGACCTCTCTCAATCCCTGGATGGAGACCTCCATGTAGAGTCATCCCTTGTCTCTCAAACAGTGACTGCATGAAAAAAACAACAAGAAAAGTATCTTAAAATCTTGAAAGCACACCATGACTCCTATAGGTTAATTCAAAGAATATGCATAAATGTGCGCAGCAGTGCATGTCGTGTTGGCCAGGTATTTTTGTATGTGCGCTGAGTTTGTATGTATGCCAGCAGAGCAGCATATGCTGTCTGCCAATGTGCTGTGTGTAGGTGCACTCACACTGATCTCTGCTGGGGTTATTCTCCTGCTGGTGGGCCGTTGTTTGACAGTGGCTGCTCTGTAATCTGCCTCAGAGGGCTGAGAACGCAACATAGACTCCTGTGATGCCAACATCTCATCTAGTCTTTCTGTTAAGAAGAAAATTGGCCAGAACTAAATACTGAGACATAAAAACGCTGTGGCATCTATTCCAAATGTTGATATCGCCATAAAGAATACAAAGGCACCTCTAAGATGTAGCTATATGTGTGGGGTCATGCTCTGTGGTACTGTACAAAATCACTACCCTGTCTCAATAAAATACTGGAAAAAGAAAAAAAAGAACGAAAGAAAGAAGCGATAAGTGACAGAAAAGTGTAGACTGTCCACATGGCTCATGTGTTCTTCTGCTCTGCTCATCTGCTCTAATAAGCGGTTCTTAAATTGACACATCATTGATAAATCATCTTTGTGACGTCCAAAGAGGTGTCAATTTCTTGTCTCAGACTCACCTCCTCTTCTCCTCCGAGCAGAAGCTTGGTGGGAAAAAGATAGCGTCAGCAGAGGAGGGAAAATGACAAGAACAAGCCAACAGAAGTGACTATTCTAAAAGTTAGGAGACACACCAAGTTTTAATGACAAAGCCAAAGCAGAAATATGACAGAAAAGGAGGGAAAAAAAAGAGTGTCGAGTCTGCATACCACTTATTTGGCACTCACCTAGTTCCTCCAGCTCAGCGGTCATGGACTTAGAGCGCAGTGTCAGGGTGGTGCTGGGAGCTCTCTTGGGTGGTGGCGGCGCTGTGGAGAAAAGGCATGGAGTTGAGGATGAACTTGAGGGGGATGAAAATCCTTTGGCTTTGCGGCTCAGTGCCCTCCTGGCATCCCCGAGACGGCCAGCCCATCCTGTCCTCACTGATTTGATTTGGTCAAATTCGGTTGAACTGGATGCTTCACACTTAGTCAGGACCTTATTCACGCTACGGTTGGAGCCCAGCTTCTTCATATTTTGCTATCTGTTTGTCAGATGACTTATAAATGTATCAGTCTGTCTTCAAGACTTTTAGTTTTTTAGTCTCTGTGCTGCAAGAATTCCTCTCTGTTGAGGAGCCCATTGGGTGGAAATGTACAGGTCAGTCCTCCCAGTAAACAAAGAACAATAGAGTTTGTCCGCCACAATAGGCAGAAAAAGTAAGAAATGTGTGGAAAGGAGAGGGAGAAAGTCGTCCATCTTACTTTTAATATGCTGCCTGCCTAGAATTTAGCAGATGTGTATCAGACAGAGGCACACATTAATGAACCAGCTTATACAAACATGCATATCCTCCCCCAGAGAAAATTCCTTGAGGGTGCACATAATGACATGTGGGCTGACAGATGAAGAGATGATAGTGAATTCAACAGCTAAGGAAAACGATGCACCGCAGACTTTATATCCCACAGCTTGTGGGAGCCTCCCAATCCTACTATACACACAGGGCAACCGTCCCAGTCAAAGCAGTAAATCATATCTACCAAATCTTAGCTTCAAAAACAAACTATAGAGTTATGGGACTAAAAATAGGTTAGACTAAGCACTGAAATGAACGTAATGTAAAAAACAACGCAGCAACTGATTTTAAAATCATGTTAAACCTGCAGTAACAACACCAATGCCATGCAGTCTGACAGTGAAACCACATATAGCTGCATTCTCTACATGCTATAACCAAGTTTCCCAACAATACCACACGACAGAACTAGATGAGCTCACGCTATCTGAGATAGACCAGCCAACACTCCACTCAATGCACCACTGTAGCGCGATAGATCTCCAAATCCCACAGTTGCCTCAATGCCTTACTAGAGCATAACTATCATCGCTGCCGCCAGCAGCCGCAGATCTAGTGTACATACGCCATCCTGGGTACTGTCCTTATCAAACATCTTCATTTCCTCACAAGCCTGCACATTCTGGTACAGGAGCAGGGAGCAGAGGAGATGGAGGAGGAAGGCAAAAGAGAGAGGAACAGAGACAGACTCAGAGGGAGAGAGAGTTGCTTTTGCTGTAATGTAATGCTTAATTCAAACATGCAGTGTAGTCACCATGGCAACGGTGGCAGTAGTGAGGCCACGCATGGTGCAGAGAATGTGTGTTCGCTCGCGGGTCCGTGTGTGTCTGCATGTTTCTGTGCGTTTGTGTAAAGGTGCAGCACACCAAGTCCCACTGGAGGATATGAGCAGCAGGAGGGGGTGTTCAATATTGATTAGGGTGCAAAAAAAAGGCATTTAAGAGAAGTTTGAAAAAGGAATGAAGAATTTCATTCCAACCCATGAAACGCCAGATACACCCCATCTACTCTATAGCTGTTTGCACTGTCTGTCTCATCATTTCAATCTGTCTCCACATTTTTTCTTCAGTTGACAATAAAGGAATCTTACCAGTGATTATCTTTACTGTCTACTTTCTCTTTCACCTACTAAATATCTGGCCTTAGAAGCTTTGACATAAGCAGAGGTAAGAAAGCTTTAACGTTGGCTACAGTAAAGCAGCTTTGGAAAAATTGGTGTGCAACCCCTCTGCAACCCACATTAATCCCAAATCCTTGCAGTCATGCGGTCTCACTTAACAATTTCATTAATTAAATATTTATAAAATATTAACAAAGTGCCAAACGCATGATGGGGATGCCAAAAACAAAAACAACCCCAAAACAAAGCAAATAATAACAAGTTGCATTAAAAAAAAATTAACACCATCTTGGGAAAATCCTTTTCATTTGAGTCTAAGAGTAAAATTAAACGATCAATATTATATTTACATTTGTGCACCAGCAAATTAGCCTAGCTTAGCATAGTTAGTGCTATCAGCAAAAGCCCAAGTGTAGCCCAAGTATAAAACCTTTTCATACCTGTCTAACTTTCTTGTTCACTCAGCTCTTTTCACTCACCATGTGTTTATGCACCACTAATTTATTCAGACATTTAAAGCAGAATTAGTAATTATTCAACTCTGGCTCTCTCCTATAGTGTGTTTTTTATCCTCTCTCCCTCTGCTCTGTTCTCTTCCCCCTAAGCTTCCAACACAATCATCCTGGTTCTGCCTGAGTTTTCTTCTTGTTAAAAGGGAGTTTTTTCTTCCCACTGTTACCCAGTGCTTGTTCACAGCAGGTAGTCTAACTGTTGGGGTTTTCTCTCTAATACTGTTGTGTTTTTATCCTACAATACAAAGTGTTGTTTTGAATGGGCACTATATAAATAAAACTGAATTGAAATTGTAGGTGTAAATGGCACTTCCCCAGTATTTTCTTCAGAGTCAAAGAGGATGCTCACAAAACCTACAAAAAAAGAAAAACTGCTATTTTTACATGCATGGATTGTGTTTTTGTCATCGGCATGTTAAATAGTGAGATTTTAGAGGCAGACTTTATCTTTGTGTTGAATTGCGTGCAAAGACTGTAGCCTCTCATTAGAGACAAGAATAAGAGAGGTAGTGTCTTTTTTAATCAACTGACACCAGGAAGTACAAAAGATTTCCAAAACCTTCAACTTTTACTTTATTAAATTACGATTGGTGTAGTCAATTGGCAAAATGGCACCATGATGGGAAGTTGAAAGGTTAAAAAAAAAGCTAATAAGTGGCCTTTCTGGGGTCAAAACATGCTAATTTGACTTCTACATGAATGAATGATACTAAGAGACTGGGTTTATTTAAAAGCGACAAGCATGAGAAATGATATTAAGGCAAGAAAGACAGAAAGAGGAAGAAAGAGAGATTAAGAGACCATTAAGCCCTGAGTAGCAGAATTAAGTTGATACAGTACTGTCCTAGTGAAACTAGGTCAAACTCATTTATCACTGTCTGTATCTCAAAAATCACAAAGGACGTGCACACACCACTCTACCATGCATAAAAGCACACACACAGACGGACACGCTGCAGTGTACACAATTCTGAGGTCATTGTGCCAGGACTGTGTGGGAGCTGAGTAATCTGAGCTGTGGTTGACATGGAAACTACATGAATTTACAGCAGGGAAACGTGGTAGAAATTACCCAGACAATACACACGTATCTCCCTCTGTACACAAAAATCAACATATATGTCTCCATTACCTGATAAAATTAATTTACAAATAACAAACATCGCAACAGGAGCTTCACATACCACATAAAATATCTCGAAGGGCAATCTAATGTAATCAAGCCATGTAGAATATGTTGTAAATTTATGAATAAGCTTAAAAATCCGTCCATTGTTGCATTAATGGCCTAGATATATCTGAGCCAACGTGTGAATACATTTTGCATATTCAGTGTAGAAAGCTACAACTCCCCCACGCTCTCAACTCTTGATCCCAAAACAATAAGAGCAAAATTTTTTAGTTGTCCACTTTATTCTCCAACTGAAAGGAACAGATGAAAGCGTTTGTCCTTGATACATACCCAAGACTTAACAGAATTGTTTCAAGTGACCAAAACAGTTCCTGAGAATGCGTAAGGTCATGTTTTCTCACACATTCCAGCACAACTGATTAATTTACTAGTAATGTTTATAAAATGCCTACTACTGTGTTATGATTTTGCTGAGTACAAATAAGTATGTACCTTTCTTGCGAACAACTTCCTCAGTCTCTGGTTTGCGAGTGACTGAAACCACCTTCATCAGCAGTCTGTTGCCCCCTTGGCGGATCAAGGATACCACCTGCTTATGACCCACCTTCACAACATTCACCCCATTTACCTGAGAGAAAATTCACCCACAAAGACAGAACAGGAAGCAAGAAACATACAACTTAGTTCCTGTTTTATTTTAATTTTTTGCTTTTATGCTGATAAAAGCATAGTTAAAGCACTATATTCAGTTACAGAGGGAAATTTACACGATTAAACCACACATTTACTTTGCATTTTCATCTGGATCTATGGACATTTACACTTCTTTCAGGAGTGAAATGTATACAAATCAAGATGAATAATGAGGCAATTTTTATCACCTCAATGAGGAAGTCCCCTGTCCTTAGACCGGCCCTCCAGGCCACTCCTTCCACGTCAACAGACTCCAGATACTGAAGGGCAGGGAACGCCGGGGTGGGAGTGAACTCCTCAATGGGCGTCTCAGCTGGGAAGAAATAGTTTTTAAAAAGTTTTAAACCCACGTCGTCAAATAAAAAAATATTTATAGCTTCCTTTTGCTTCACTGGAAAGTTAGAACAGATCATGTATCACATGCTCCAAATGCTCCTTTATTTTCCTCTCAGGCAATAATCGCAACAATAATTAAAATTTCTCTTAACCAATTTATTTAATGAACACATTAGCACTGAGTTTAGTGCTGCTGCATCTAAACAGTATTACTGAAGCTTATAGTTCCATACAAACATAATTATTATTGCATGACTAAAAAGCAGACATGCAATACTTAAGAATATTTCGTAAAGTGAGCGGGCTTTCATGTACTCCATTTAATGTTGGAGTGAATCCAGCTAAATCACTGACACATGAGAGCTCTCAGAGGACCACTAAGTGAACTGCAGTGTGTGTGTTTAAGGGTAGTGAGGAGTAAAAGACCGACTGAAAGAGAGAGACGGGCGAGCCAAGACCCACGGTAGTGAGTGATGGAGCAGTAAAGCACACTAAGACTCCCGGCAAGGTGTCTGAAAGGGGTTACCATGGTAACCATGCCGAGCAGGGAGGGAGCTGGCACGTGCATGAGTAAAACGAATTTGCGGTGATGGAGATGAGTAGAGAGCCGATTTCGGTTAAAGTGCAGAAGGTATGATAATATTTTGAGAGGATAATGAACAGGAAGGATGTGAAGGAGGTGGAGGAGAGCGAAGAGGAACAAAAACAAGAAGAGACAAAGAGGAGAGAGGAGGAGAGAGAGAGTGTAGAGTCTTTCTCTACTAAAACTCAACGCCATGTGCAGGGAACAGATGGGACAGCTAGATGACAGCTCAGCCAAGGATGACACCACCAAAGGGGCCACATGCATTCGCACAAACACATACCCAGAAACCTGAGTGCAACTGAGTACACAAACTGAGTGTTGACCAAAGCTGGTTGTGTTGTTGACTCACACGGTAACAATACTGACTGAGCCGTAGTCAGTGACTCAGATCAACAAGCTACTTCTCAGACCAAAACACTCGCACACCTTGAAAACCTTGTGAATGGCACTGGCGTGTATCTGTATGTGCATCGCTCACCTTTGGCTCCCCGCAGGACAAAGCCAAACCCCTCATTTTCTTTCTTCTGTAAAACAGCATTCTTCTCCTCTATGATATAGTCACTGTGAAGAGAGGAGCAGGGGGATAGCAGGTATGAATCCAACATCCTCCTCACACGGACACAAAGAGAGAGGGGCGAGAGAAAGGGCAGGGGAGTAAAGCGGGTCGGTCGGTGGGAGTTGAGAAGAGGGAGGAGGTGGAGGTGGAGGGGGAGGCACGCACACACAAACACACACACACATACACGCACACAAAACCGCACGCGCACACACGTGTACATGTACTTCCTCTCTCAATCAAGTTAAAAGCCAAGCAAGACACCACAGCTCAGGTTTCCCAGGTGCCGCACTAGCATTTTAAGAAAGAAAGCAAGACACACACACACAAACACACTCACAAGTAGAAAGACAGAACATGAAAAAGTGCGCTAGAGAATGAGCAGGTGAGAGAAAGTCCTCATGATTGAAGTATCTATGGGATAAAACCTAAGAGTGAATCAATCTTCTAGCTGATCCTTCAGATGAGACTGCAGCTGTGGAGTGTGTTGAGGGACTTTGTGAAAGAAACTGACAGAGCTGGCTCAGATGTAATACTGTGGCTTGACTAATGACAGTGGAAACAGTAAGTGAGCAGTTCATAACTGTCTGATTTTTCTGAGAGTTCAGTGGTGAAAGCAGGTAGGCGGTGTTAAGCTGAGGTGCTCATGCATATGTTTTTAAAGCCTGTGAGCAGAAAGTGGAGTTAGTAAAGCAGCAAAGCAAATATCTGCAGTATGGATTGTTGTGTGAGGATTAAATCAAAATTTCTGATGCCCAAAGATGTGAAATGAAGAAAGGGAGTTAACTAAAAGATATTTTAATCATGCCTTATGATAAACGGTAACATAAAATTTTTAATAGAAAGGAAAATTGAAGAAAGGTGACCTGAATAATGCAATATTCCTTAACTCAAATCTAATAAATCTAATAAATGTTCCATTCTTTTAACAGCACAGACTGAGGGGGACTGCTCACACTTTACACCCTGAATGCCTTTACAAAATCTATTAGCTTTACAGAATTTTGAAAGTTTCAGCAGTATCATTCATCTTTCCTGACAGAAGATGCAGATCTAGAAAGGGCTGTGGTTCAGGTTGCAACTCAGTGGGTGGCTGCAGAGTCATTAGCTTAGTTACACTCCACTTTCTCAGACTTACCCAGAGCTCCTGCTGCTGGAGCCAGGAGAACCATAACAAACCTTTCTGCAGGAAGGAGGTCAAAGATTTGGTTTCATAAAGCGATATGAAACCACTTATGCACTAATTATTATGCACAGGAAAATGAGTTGGTTAAGCACCACTAAGATACTTTGCTTCAGTCCAAACCCTTTTATCTGGTATGCTTCCATCTCTGCTCTATGACACAAAATACTGCATTAATGCAATGTGCTCGCTGTCCTTGTTCAGAACATCTACCCACCTACATAACTCGATAAAGAAAAAATACTCACTTTTCACATATCAACGGTAAATGTTTCCTCAAAATAGACCTGTCCTTTGACATTTGCAATTCTAATATTCTGCAGACAATAGCTCGGATGAAGAAACTCAAGTATAACTCAAGTGTGTGTCCTTCGTGTGCAACTGGTACTTTACTGACTTCAAGGAACTTTAATTTGTACTTCAGAGCCTCTGAACAGAAACAGAACTATGTTTAGTTATAGTTAACACCCATTCTAAAACAAAAACGTATATGCAGACTATCACAGGTTCACAGCTTTAGTAATGGTAACTCAAAAAGTCTGTGGCTGTGGAAACAGAAGCAACACTTACTTTGACTAAAACCTAGATTGCAAGATGACATTTTATGAAAGGCAAAGGAAGCAGGTCGAAACAATGCTCGTGCAGACCAGCTCTGTGTCTCTAACCGATAAACTGTGGCATTAGAGTGAGAATTTGCATAACAACAAAATGCTCAGCTAGTACATCTAATTTGGAAGAGAGGGATCACTCACACTCTGTACATAATAAATGTCATCTCGAGATTTGGACAGGATAACAAAACTTAAAAAAGAATAAAAGATTAGATTATGAAGAAATTCAAGTGAATCAAAATTGATGAATGTGAAGACAGACATAAATGGAGAGTATGTGCAATGCATGCATAGTGAACACCCTTACATACAGACAGTATAAGAGCGTTATGTAATATCATGTGTGTGCATTTTAGAATCAGAACTGTGTGCACTAGCAGGATCACGCCTTTAGATGGCAGCACCTCTACAGCACAAATGAACTTCACTGACCCTGTTAAGACAAGGAAACCGTGTGTGATATGACCAGCAGTACAGTGCAATGAGCAGTACAATATACACTACTAGACAATGCTGTAGGATGCTAGCTCAGAGTTAGAGGTTGTACCTGTATGAGGTGAAGTTGTCGTAAGATCCCACAGTGTAGTGTCTGAACAGTCTCTTAGTGCGGTCCTCCCGTGTCTCTGTAAAATAGATTTAAAGGATTGGTTGAGTGATATACTTTTTGATGCTATAAAAACATATATTGGAGGTAACTGATCTACCTACAAGGTCATATAGACCATTAAACACTTACATCATCAAACTGCCTAAATTATTACTATGATTTAATAACAGATGTTCAAGTGAAGTGTGTTGTCTTAAAAGCCACATTGCCAGTGTATACAGATCTCCGTAAATAAGCTGAAATTAAAAATATCCCAATAATGCTTTACTTGAATATGTTTTAGGAAGTACACAGTTGATTTTTTTAAATCAGATTTAGTCCAGCTAATGACTTTATACAAATCCACAAGATTCCAAAAATGTCAAGGCTGTGTCTGCCCCAGTTCTTAGCATGTTAGTATAAAAATGTCAGTAATAATCTAATTCGGTGAGCACAGAGAGGAATTAAGCTACCACAGAGAAGCAATTATCATTAACATGCTTCATTTATCATAGAGTATAATTGTTCTATGGTAATGTTTTGCTTTTGAAACAGTGAAGTAATTGCCTAATTCTGCCCTCAAAGTGTTTCTTTTAAAGGCAAATGTGTTTGATTAGACGCTCATTGAATACTGTGTGTGTATGCACCGTGTGCATGTGGTTTCTGTCACTATATGTGATGTTATCCTATAGGAGTGCTGATGCCCTTTTTCTATCCCAATAATACACAGCACAATACATCTCCACTAAACAGCCGATCGGCTGACTAAACACTGCACGGCACACACAAGCTCTTAATTGGACGAGGCTGTGAAAGCAAGAGCCGCCGTGGTGTTGATGTGAGACACACAGCATGTTCCTATGACTTTGCTTGGCAAACTTGGTCGCATGCTTGCCTCCTGTCGCTTTACTTTCCAATACAGGCAAACGAGAGAAGATGTTTAAGATAAGCTGTATATGTGAAAAGGAAAAAGAAGACTCGCAAAGAACGAAAATGGAAAGAGGTCAAAGTGAGTGAGCAGTCTTGAACTGGCTGGCATCTCCAGATCCACTTTATCCTGTCAATCTGATTCACTGTGTGAGTGACCGACTGTCAGCTGAGAACAACTTGAAGCTTTGAGAAGTGCATCCACTGACACTCGGTGACACGGCAAAAGGGCAAAAAATGAAAAGGGATTTAGCAGCAGTTAACTTTAACCTCTTAGCCACTGTTTTTATTTTCATTATATTCATTTTTCATATCTGCGTTTTCACAATTATCTTGTTTGCCTGAACATGCCTGTTTTTCATAATCAAGCTGTGCTCTATGAATCTGAATCACTCTGAATCTTGCAGATTTGTTTCAGCATGATTCCAACTGCGAGGCTTTCTTCATCCTTTGTATGTTAGAATGAGTGTTAATCTGAATGTCTTTTTCAGCTCAGGTGAGAAATTTAATTAAATAAATTCTCTGAATTCTCTGACACCAAATAAAAAGCCCAGTCAACTTAAAATGTATAGAGTTCAAAATATCCAACTAAAATACAATTACTGTACAGTGTACATCTATCAATTAAAGTAAAGGGAAAAGAAGGGTGAGTTGGTATTTTCTTTAGGTTAGAAGGTTACTCTACATCCGGTCTGGGGAGGAAAGACATGGCATTTTGTTAGCACAGCCTGTCAAAGGTAAGTCGTAATGAAAAAAGAGGTGATATTTGGGGAGAAAGTCATAGATGAGTCAGGACTTGTCTTCTCCCACACCTTCAGAGGCTTTCTTTTAGGGCTAGACTCAGCTTTCATGCACACATACACGTACCAGTTGAATATGAATAAGAGTTATGGCTAATGACAGACTTTCATGTATCTTAGGTTCTGTATTTAAATATTAAGTGACCACATGATTTGCCTACACACTTATTCACAAGGGCTCAACACAGCAGGTAGCACTGCATGTTTGACTGGGTAGATTTTTGTGCCAGATGCCCTTCCTGAGACAAATTCCTTAGGAGTTGCGCACACACACATTATTTGTGTGTGTGTGTGTGTGTGTGTGTGTGTGTGTGTGTGTGTGTGTGTGTGTGTGTGTGTGTGTGTATAAAAAGTAGGTTGCACTTTGGCCAGATTAGGAAACATGTCCATGGTCATGGCAAAACATTACGGCTGTCATGAATAAAAAGAGGACCAAGAATGGACCCTTATTGAACACCCACAATAATGACAACATGACCGTAACACAATGATCGACATCAATACAAGCTATGTCTACAGAAAACACAGCATAATATTAATGACTATCAAGGGCTTCAATAATGACGTAATTGAAATCCTGATTGCTCAACGTGTAACAATATTAGACACTACATTTTTGTAATGGTAAACCTTTTTAGACTTGCAGATTTAATGAATTTTATCTGATGCGTAAGCCAGCAGGGAAGTGATTAACTTGCAATGGATCGAAAATGTAAATTATTTTCATCCAGTGGTCATCGATGTCGTACGCAAAAGCTGTTCCTGCTGGGCACTTGTTTGTTTAGTAATGGTTTAGCTAAGAAGACTGCATTTGTTTGTTTGAATAGTGCTTGAAAGCAACAGATGCAGCATTTGTATTTCTGTTTCTACTAGAGTGTGCGCATCTAAGTTTGTGTGTGTATGTGTGTTTGTGTACCATGTGTACCATGTGATACGGTCCAGAAGTGTGAAATGCAACTTATTCATCACAACTGTCATGTACAGCCCAGGAGCATCTAAAGACAGGGCCCTCATAGCAGAGATAACCTCCAATAGACTTCCATCTATCACAGACTCATACACACAAAAGCAGAAAACAAAAGATGAGACACAGGGCTCCACTGTAAACAAAAAGCTATTATCATTTTTATTATGTATTGAATCTACACATATAGATTCATTTTAATATTAAATCTATATGTAGAGACTCAATTGCTCGGTAAGGCAAATATCTTATAAGCCAATCCAACAGCCGCACCTCAGTGCGTTTAGGGATGCTGACATGGTCAAGACAACCTGCTCTAACCAATTCTAACCTGCTTTAGTTGTAACAAAACATCATAGAAAGCAAATGTGATTTCAGTTCATTTTAAATGTGGATTGGTTATTGGTGCCAGATGGGCTACTGGGATTTTTCCCACGCAACTATCTCTAGGGTTTACAAAGACTGGTCTGAAAATGAGAAAATACCCGGTGAGCGACAGTTCTCTGGGCGAAAATGGCCAGACTGCTTTGAGCTAATAGGAAGGCAACAGTGACTCAAATAACCACTTGTTACAACCAGTGTTTGCAGAAGAACAGCTCTAAATGCACAAAATATTAAATCTTGAAGCAGATGGGCTGCAGCAACAGGAGACCACACCAGGTGCCACTCCTGTCAGCTGAGAAAAGGAAACCAAGGCTACAATTCACACTGTCTCGTTAAAATGGGAAAATGGACGATTAGAAAAATGTCGCCTGGTCTAATGAGTCTCGATTAGATGGGCAACATTAAGATGTTGGGGTCAGAATTTGGGTTAAACAACATGAAAACGTGGATACATCCTGCCTTATATCATCAGTTCAGGTTGGTGGTAATGGTGGTATAATGGTGTCGGGGTGTTTTCTTTGAGCCCCTTAGTACCGATTGAGAATAATTACACTCCACAGCCTACCTGAGTATTGTTGCTGACCATATCCATCCCTTTATGGTTACAGTATACCCATCTTTTGATGGCTGTGTCACAAAGCTCAAATAATCTCCATCTGGTTTTGTTAATTTAAAATTGAATGCACTACTTTCTCTCTCTGAAGACAAATGTGGTCTAAAACAGAGAGACCTCTGAATGCTTTTTTAATAACAGAGATATAGAAAGACAAGGACATTTTCAGTAGAACAATGTTGGTTTCAAACCAAATTCTACTTTTTGGAGATATCATTGAAATTCAAGTGAAACATCCAGTTCCAAAATTAAACTGTAACGTCATAGTATTAAAAAAAACAAAGAAAAAGAAATAGAGGAAGGTCATTTCCCTTTGAGAACATAAAAAAACTTGACCTCTGAATGCTTTTTAATAAAACAGATATCAAAAGCGAGGGACATTTTCATTTGAACAATGTTCGACATCTGGTAGCAGAAACACATTTTGCCTTAATTGCCTCTTGAATAAAACAATGTGGGCAAAATTTAAATGGTAAAATTTGGTTGAAGTCAAAGTTCCTTTTGATTTGCCCAGTGGATAGAGATTCATCTGATCTCTGTCACAAACTGAAATGACAAAAACAGAAAGTTTGAGAAGTACTGTAGTACTAGTACTGTTTAGCTTTCAAGCTTTTCACCTTAATAATAATAATAAAAATGATAATGGTAATAATAATAATAATGACAACGATAATAACAATAATAACCACACTGAATGAAATCAAATGTTGTCTCAATGCGTACCTTGGAACCAACGTAAAGTTGAACCATCAACTCTAACAGGACTAATATAGTCTAACGTTCTAGGACAGTAAAATCCAAAGTGCCTACAGCCTGCACTGTTTGATGAAGTCTTCTTCTGACATATGCTCTGTTAAAATATCCTGTTAGTGAAGTCATCTTGGTACAGTAATGCAATAAAGTAAGATTTATTAAACCACTTTCAAAAAAACGTAACTAATCAGGGTAAAAGTTGATAATAGCACTTCTACCCTATAATTTGAGCAGAAATATAGATGTTTTTACTATCAAAAATATATGAAGGGTGGTATTGACTGAAAGTTTTTTTTGTGTGTTATGAGTGATCATCTGTTGAGATGAAAGCATATTTTACACATCAAGCGATAAGTCACGCTTTCTGTAACACTGTTAACATGCTGCATCTTTCCCACTTCTCTATTCTGGACAGACTGCAACACCTTTGCTGTCCTTGTCTGAAGGACGCCAGAGTCCCATCACACATACACGTGGACTCACACACACACACGCGCACAAACACAGTGTCCACGCTGAATGGGAATTAACCTATGCTGTTTTAATACTGATAAGAGCTGCACACAAACATTCAAACACATCCACACAAACACACA